CGAGTGTTTAGATTGTTTAGTCTTATGTGCTACGCATGAGATGAATTGAATTAAAGCCAACTGACCTCGAATTTCTTGGGGCTTAGATGCTTGGACAAGATGTCACAATACTGTTGTATGGTGATCTTGTCTCCACTCACACCGATTGTTTTATAACGATAAGCATCTGGATTCTCCAATATACCTGCGACATGAAAACAACTTGAATCACAATGACATTAAATATAAAAAGGCTAAAAACTGAAAAATATACCTAAGATAATTTTTCTGTGATATGGGCGCCATACGGAAAATCGAGAGATTATTCAAACGTTTTTATTTAGAGACATTCCTGATAAGATGGTTGAATGGGAGGCGCGGAGGCATGGTGGTTAGCGCGTTGGACTCCAGATCGAGGACATCGAGAGGTCGGGGTTCGAGCGTTTTCTTGAGCAAGACACTTAACTTTTTCCACCCAGGGCCGGGTTGTTCAAAGAACGATTAAGCTAATCCAGGATTAGCGCGAATTTTGATTTCAGTTTAGTAACTTTTCAGTGAGGTTTTCTGTTTATATTCTTTGTCTTTCTGTTTTGACTTTGACTAATCTTAAACTTTACAAAACAACACCAGAGAAAACAATTCAAGATAAATTAAAAGCTTGATGAACTTTTAATCCTGGAAAAGCGTTAATCGGCTTTCGAACAACCGGGAGCAACCTCGTTCCCAGGGTCTCTCTACTTCCCGCCAAAAGCATCAGAAAAGAGACTTTGGTGGGAAGAATAGAGACCCTGGGAACGAGGTTGGCCTTGGAGTATAAATGGGTTCTGGCGACAAAATGCTGGAGGTACCCTGCGATGGACTAACACTCCATCCAAGGTAGTCGGTAGCAATACACCTAGTCAGCTCATGCTACAGAAACCGGGATAAGAGGTTTAGAATTCCCTCCCCTCAATAAACCCTGATCACCAATAACCTTCTTTCCATTCCAGAACAAGCCATTTGTACAATAAAGTGTTGCTTACCATATACACACTCTCCTCCTTGTTTAACGTCTATTCCATCCATGGGTACATCAAGCATTGGAATATCGTACACAAACGTGTTTTCAGCCGTTTTTCTCGGTTTCATCATCGTTGGTAGGTTATTGAAATAGAAAGAGAAGCGAATTATTGTGAAAGGCAGGCGTTCTTTCAGCTTTTTCGTGTGGAGGTATTCTTCCACAATACCTTTGCTGTCAAAATGCCCTGAAAAAGAAATGGCCATTGTGACAATAATGCTCGAGTACAAACAGTACGTGAACATGATTCACTTAAGTCCCTGTAACCATTGCACCGGCCTTTTCCTAAAGCAAGGAGAAGTAGCCCAATGCAGTAATTATAAAGGAGGAATATAACTAATATAATCTACTACACGGGCGAGTCTTACACAGGCCTGGAGGACCTTTTAGATTTTTTCTAAATGTGTCCATGCATGTTCGGTATCCGGCCTAATTGCAAAAGTCTGACTGTTACAGTCCGACTACTGTAACCGGGGCCACCCAGACAATGTTAACCAATCACAGGGCAGAACGGGAACAATACATTCCAACATTAGCGATTTGAGCCAATCAAATGTCGAGTACCAAACAATGAAATTTCCACTTGTTCACTCGTGAAGATTATGATGAATACGGCGTTGACTTTGCACTAGAAACTAGAACAAATGTTTTCGAAATATTACTGTATATATTGAGGAATTATAAAACAGTGCAATTATGATAAATCTAATAAAGAAAACTTTCTTAACTTATGCATCAGTCAATTCCAGCAGTGCCCACCCCCCCCCCCCCCCCCTCTCCCCCACCCCACCCCCCCACCCCCTCCAACGCTGAAAGAGGTCTAGAAGAATCAACAGTTACCTAATTCATGGTCTGGTTTTTCATTACACATCAAGTAGAAATAATCGAAGCCTATGCATGTCTCAAAACAAGAACGCAACTTACATAATGATTGACTTATAATGATTGTCTCGTGTGAGAAACAGGAAAAATTTAATGATGATGCTGAAATTATGAACAACCATGTCACGCCTACTACCAAAGGCACATTTTGCTATCGGAACGTGCTACAAACGAGTCTATCTACCTTAAATTAATTTTCACAAATTGTAATATTCTTGAAAGAAAATGAAAATTATCTTTAACTTGAATTTGAATGTTTCAGAACCTAATATAACAAGCAGCTGAAAACCACAATCCACAATATTTATTTACTTCAGTATTTTTCTTTTTTTCTTTTTTTTCATTTCATTTTTTTTTCACCCCGCACCCCGCGTTTTCGGAATACCCAAAATAAATTAACCCCAAGCTAATATCAATTCGCTATGCCTGAGCAGTCAGTTTAAATCAATAGACGTCTGTAAATTCGCTGTCTCGGTCCACTTGCGGGTCTTCGCTGATAACTCACCCGTAACTCAGTACAGAACGTCAATTCGCACGATTCCGTTTTCCGCTGTTACAAATTTTTATCTGCATCTCGCCAGATACATGTACGTGACTACTGATGTGCGCCCTCGAGTCCTCAGCCTCGTGTGTCCACTCGGCTTAATTTATTAGTTTGCAACCCGGGTTTGCAATTACAATTATTTTCAATGCAAGGGCACGAAATGCGAAACAAACTAAATGACTTACCACAATCAATTCCAATTGATTTCTTCACATTTTCCAGCCCACTGTAAATCAAATGCTTCACTCCAAGCTCCTCACATACATCGACCACTCGTTTGCCTTGATCGATTTCCTTCTCTTTACTAAAATGCTCCCAGTAATTTGTGACCAAGAAAACGCCGTACGAGCCACTTACTGCATGCTCCACGGACTCTTTGTCGTCCATATCACATTTGACCACCTCACATCCTTTACTCTTGAGATCTTGGCCCTTGGGTCCATCAGGACTTCTCGTCACTGCACGGACGGCATAATCTTCTCCTCTCTCAATGGCTTTGAGAAGCGCAGAAACTACACCACCCCCTTGTCCGCCAGTCGCTCCGAATACTGTTATGACCTTCGGCATTTTGCAGCAATTTGATTCGTACCTTTGCGAAGCGTAAGGTGCCTGTTTCTGAGTGGAAATCCGCTCGCTAATCACACAGCTAACTTCAGAGACAGCGATATGCAAATCCAAGCCAAACCCACTTGTTTATTGATCTTTATTGATCATTCTGTCACGCACCTTTGTCACGTTTATTGTTATGCTCTTTGTTGTATTACAATGTACTCGAATTCTCTGTGAGAAACTGAAGATGATTAGGTTCATACGGCAGCCCAGAAGGGTCACCAACCAATTTTGTTTTCACTTTTTACATTTTTGTTTTCACTTTTTACTTTTTGGTTTTCGTTTTTACTTTTGGTTTTCACTTTTTACTTTTGGGTTTTCACTTTTAATTTTTTAGTTTTCAGTTTTACTTTTGGTTTTCACATTTTACTTTTTGGTTTTCAGTTTTACTTTTTGTTTCCAATTTTTATTTTATTTTTTCACACCCCCAGCTATGTAATTTAAATTTACGCCTATCGTTCAGTATGGTGGTTATAAGACTTTATTTTCTGATTGCCTAAACTAAATTGTTCGTTCCTCGCAACCTTAAACCTCAGAAAGTCGAAAATCAGACAGAACACTCGGTCCTGTTTTTCTTTTTTTCGCCGTTGGCGTTGCAATCTCTAATTGAATGAGTAATGCCAACAATGTAGCAATAGACATTAGTAGTTCACTTCTCAATGTAGCAGTTGTTTTGATTGCAATCTTCCTCCTTTGATCACGCGAACAGATCACGCGATCATAAAATGTAAACAAGTATCCTTCTCTATTAATAGCCCTCCATTTACGTTACTTACTTACTTACTTACGCCTAGTACCCCGCCTGGGGCATAGGCCGCCGACAAGTGTCCTCCAGACGTCTCTGTCCTGGGCTTTCCTCTCTAGCTGGCTCCAGGTCAGCCCCGATCTCCTGATGTCTGCTTCCAGGTCCCGACGCCATGAGTTTCTTGGCCGTCCCCTCCTCCTCTTACCCGGGGGGTTCCAGGTCAGGGCTTGCCTAGTGATGTTCGTTTGAGGCTTGCGGAGAGTATGACCTACCCATCTCCAACGCCTCTTCATGATCTCGGCATCTGCTGGCATCTGGTTGGTTCTCTGCCACAGGTCGTTGTTGCTGATGGTGTTTGGCCAACGTATCCGGAGAATTCTTCGTAGACATGTGTTAATGAAGGTCTGCACTTTCTTTGTGGTTGCCACGGTTGTCCTCCACGTTTCTGAACCATACAGTAGGACAGGTTTGACGTTACTATTGAAGATCCTGATCTTGGTCTGAAGTGTCAGTTCGTTTGAACTCCAGGTGTTCCTCAACTGCAGGAAAGCTGCTCTTGCTTTGCCGATCCTGGCTTTGACGTCAGCTTCCGTGCCCCCCTGATTGTCAACTGCACTGCCCAGATATGTGAAGGCATCCACCTCTTCCAGAGGTTCTTCTCCCAGCCTAACTGGTTCAACGTTCATTATGTTAGCTTTGAGGACCTTGGACTTTCCCTTGTTGATGTTAAGGCCAATTTGGGCAGAAGAGGCTGCCACGTTATTGGTCTTCTCCTGTATTTGTCGATGTGTGTGAGATAGTAGTGCCAGGTCGTCCGCAAAGTCGAGGTCGTCAAGCTGTATCCAAGGTGTCCACTGGATTCCATTTCTTGCTTGTGCTGTAGATGATCTCATAATCCAGTCAATCACAAGCAGGAACAGAATTGGCGAAAGTAAACAACCTTGTCTGACTCCCGTTCTCATGTTGAAAGCTTCTGTGAGCTGCCCTCTGTGAACGATTCTGTTGGTCAACCCCTCATATGAGTTACGGATGATGTTAACAAACTTTACTAATTAAATATGAGACGGTGTAGCAGACAAGACCAACACGGCTTAACGTCACCGCCCGATGCAATGACGCGATCATCTGAACTGAGACAAGGTGTTAGCACAGCCAGCATGATCTTACCAGTTATTTTAAAACCCTGTTTGGTGGTCCGGCCGGGATTCGAACCTGCGACCTCCCGTATTGCAGTCTGGCGCCCAACCAACTGAGCTAACCAGGCGGCGGTAAATTTTATGAACCTTCAAGACTCAAAGCTTTCTTGACGTGTATAGAACAAACAACATAAAGCTGTCGATTTTGTATCTGCCACACCCACTCGTGGTTCTTCCTTCCCTGCCCCATCCTTCCCCTCCCAGACAGAGGAGGGAGAGAGGACCATACGGTAAATGAATTTTAAAATAAGGCAACGCTCTGACTTGCTTCCATCACACCTTCCAGTCTTGTGGCCCGTCATGCTATCTATCTTCCCAAACAACGAGCCAAAAACTGTCTGCGTAGTAGAGACTACTCTCGATGTTTGTCTATTACGTCTATTACTGAGGCAATTTTAAAGCGCCATTTACACGACATTTAAAGTCAGCAAACCTTTTGTTTGAACAGGCAAGAGCAAGTCAGTAGAATGAGAATTAGTTTGGTTAGTTGTTGTTGTTGTTGTTGTTGTTGTTGTTGTTAGATTGTTTTTATCAATTTTTCTTCTGAACATGCCTCATCCATGACGAGGTTTCTCTGTTTTCTTCCAGTCTCGGCCAATCATGTACTAAACCAAAACCTCTTATTTCCAGCTAAGTCATGACAGGCTTTAATTTTACTGCTTCGACTGTTAAAGCACTTCGAGTTTAGTTTTACGGCCTGTACGACGGTAAGTAGGGTCAGCGGGCGTCAGAAGTGATATACCAGTATACAGTGGAACCTCGATATAACGATACTCGATATAACGATGTTCCCGGTATAACGATCAACATTTGACAGCCCGGCAAATGTTACAGTAAATGTATGGAGAAAACTCCCGATATAACGATACTCGATATAACGATATTCCCGATATAACGATCACAATCTGGCAGCCCAAACGTGAAATTTACCCCGATATAACGATAAAATCAATCATCGCGCGATGAAAAAGGAGGCTTAACACTTGAAAAGATATGACAATACTCCCGGGCAATACTTTTCCTTTATAATTTAGTTCTCATTGCATAAGGACTGTAACGTGTCTGTCAACAGCTTGTTACGATAGGGATTTATACAGTACATGAAAAATCAATTATTAACAATACCCCGATATAACGATATTTTTGGCTCTTTTCCCGAAAAATCGTTATATCGGGAATTCGTTATTACGATCTCCCGATATAACGATCTAATTTGGTCAGTCCCTTGGCACATCGTTATATCGAGGTTCCACTGTACCTAAAAAAACTACCAAATATACCCAAAAGTAGAACACCGCAGAAGATAACATTTGTTCTAGATCAAGGATAAATGAAAGGGGTTTTACATTTTCAACTTGATATCTATGAGTTATGTTCAAAATGAGCCAAATCATATATTTCAGCGAAAAAGTACCGTATACCCCAACTCCCTGTATACCCAAATTAAACCCCTTGTATACTGTATCCCCCACAGTCCTCTAAGACCCAGGGGCAGATAATCGGGGCGGGAGGAAGATAAAACGGGTGAAATCTGTGCGCGCGCAAGTTTATTCACGAGGATGTGTATTCCCAAAACCCTGAATCCCTGCATGAGTCGTTATAAAAATGCTTCACTGAACTGGATAACACTAACCAAACGTGTTTCCATGCACAGTACTCTTGTTTGATTCAGCTGAACTAATTCGTTTAATTTGATTTCCACACTCTGTTGTCTCCATTGACTCCATGTTATACATAATTTTAAGCATCTCTATTGTTTACGAACAATAGTCCTTTCTAGACTTTCTATATATTTGTGAGAATTTGCTGTTGTAAATGTAAAAGCTACCCATGGAGGAAGCTATTCTGTGTGTCATACAACACAGGAAACAAACCACGCAGATCTTATTTCCGTATTTCCGTCAACAATTCTGTAATTTAATCATTTTATACACGTGCGAATCAAATTCAGCCACCTGGTCAAGCGAAAACAGAGTAAAAAGACAATACCCTGCTTCATAAATCTTGACAATCTTATAATTCATAAAGAAATTCAATCGTTTGAATCTTCGACAGTTCAAAACATGGATTACTTCTCTGGCAAGCGATGGTCGCAGAAACTGAGAAGGATTTTCATGGCTGTTCGCCCTTGGTCGTTCTCGGCGTCAATTACAAGCACTTTTGTTGGATTCTCTCTCGCGTGAAAAGATACCCGAAGCATCGACGCTCTTCAAGCGCTTTTCGCTACAGCTACAATTGTATTTATCCACAGCGCTGGAAATTTAGTCAACACGTATTACGACTTCGCTAACGGTTTCGATACAGAAGATTCAGACGATAAAACACTAGTGAAGAAAGAGCTTTCTCCGAATGAAATTGCCGCGTGTATTGCCGAGTTATATTTCTTGGGAATCGTGTCATTTGCGGCGGTTTATCTCCGCGCGGATGTAAACAGTGCGCCTCTGGTCGCCCTGTTCTTGAGCGGAGTGTTAAGTTCATTTATTTACACTGGAGGAATCGGTTTAAAATACATTGCATTTGGAGATGTTTTGATTTTATTGACCTTCGGCGTTCTGACCACGGTGTTCGCTTACTTTATTCAGACGGGTGAAGTTTCAGTGAATATTATTGGTTATGCTTTACCTTTGGCGCTCAACACTGAAGCCATTCTACATGGGTGAGTAAATATACGCGTAGTTTTCATAGGTTGGATTCATTGTCTAGACTGTGAACAGTTGTCGCTCAGCTTTTTTGCTCCTGGATTGCTTAGTATTAGCGGGTATTAAAGAAGCGAAAAACACGAAGAAAGGCCGCACACATATTTTACTGAGTTATTTTCGCGCGGCGCGGCGATATTTTACGGCGCGAGCGTTTATCGATTCAGGGAGTAAACCAAAGACTACTTGAAGTTTTTCCTGCCACTGCATAAAATATGCCCGTAATGGTGGGCAGCGTAGACTGCAAGCAGTGCCTCTTTCGGATAGTTGAGCGAGCGCGAACGAGCGGAAATCGAGCGCGAAGCGCGACTGGAAATGGGGCCGCTTACTTCCGCTCGACCCCATTCCGCTCGCGCTTCGCGCTCGCTCAACTCGGAGACGAATCGTTGATCCATCCGTAAAATGTTAGTGACCTACGTGAACTGTAGGTTGGAATGACACTGGCGGTTTTTTCTGTAGATATCTTTAGCGCGCAAAGCGAACGCGAAGCACCATACACGCGTTGGTTAGAGACGGAGAACGTTTCGAAAAGTTATTCGCGCTCTGTCGATTTCAGCTCCATAAACAACTTACTGCAGTACTGCAGGCTGGGGACGATTGTTTTCTGGTTGATGTAACCTTATCTGTAACCAAATTATAGCCGGCATATAGCCAAACAAATATACTGCAACGCTGATCGACCACCACCACCCACCCACGCATAAAAATTTGTTAGTGAATCAGTTGATTTTTCTCCTCAGGAACAACACACGTGACCTTGAAAGTGACAGATCAGCAGGAGCTGTGACGTTGGCTATTCTACTTGGCAAGCAGTACGCATGTGTTCTGTATTGCTTGCTTCTGATGATCCCGTATGCTGTGCTAGGTATCCTGGCCTTGAGCTCTTCGTGGACTCTTTTCCTTCCCTTGGTTACAGTTCCATTGGCTGTTCGTCTCTCGTCCCAGTGTTTCCGCGGAGATCTGGTGATGATTCCTCAGAAAACCGCTCAGCTCAATCTGTTATTTGGTTTGCTTTACCTGACTGGACTAATGACGGCCGCATAATGAATGGCGAGCAATTGCCTGCGTGAATCTGTGACTGAGTATATAGGCCAACACCCTATTAACATACATACAATGTAAGCGTTCTCTTCTTCTTAGCGAGCAAAACCAGGCACGAAATGATTCTTACAACAGTATTTTCGGTTAATTGTCAGTGTCGAAATCATGGCCAAAGCTCAAGGAATTACTCAAATGGTAGTTGATGACATACCATCTACATTGAGATTACTATGTTTTACAGACAAATAGAAATAAGTCAAATTAACAAGGCGAAAGCATGATGCGGCGAAGACCTTTACAATATTAATATCTAGCACTTTCACCTTAATCCTCCAAATAAATAACAGGTGGATAGTAAATCCCTTTGGTTTAAGGTGGCTCCATAGGGTTTTCATATCTGGTGAGGCGCGCGCGTGAGTTATATTTTGAAAGCTGGTTTTCACGTTCTTTTTTACTACTAGTCACCCAAACCTTCCAGAATGTAATAAGTAATGATGAAATCATGTTCGACAACCATCCCTGATAACATATTGACTTTAGGTCTTGAATTAAAACTGTCCAAACAAAGGAGTTTGTCAATGCTTACGAAGCTTTAATTGTAAATTTCTTCAATTTCCTTCGGTGAAAGTTTCTACAATTTTCACAATATATAAAGTCTGCCCAGATACGAATTTTAATGAGGAAAAAAATTGGGGTTGTCAAGGCAGCTCCTTCGTCTTTTCCAAAATTGTGTTTTTTGCCTTTGCGTAAAAACGGGTCTTATAAATTTTCCTCAAAACGGACACCAAGTAAAGCAAACTAAGCATAACCTTTCCGCTAAGTTTTATGAACTTTCACCGAAGGAAACTCGAGAAAACAAAGACGAAAGTTTCTCATTTTGCCCTACAAATACGTCATAAAATAGGAACTCGTCAAGATCGCTATTTGAGCATGCGTGAACTTTCGATCGATGAGGTTTGTTTACCGGGCGTTTTATGCAATTCCTTGGACGAAATCTACAAATTCATCATCTTTGGAAGTTCAAACAGCAATATCTCGGCTTAAACATAAGTTATAAATGAATGTTTACTTTGAAATGCTTGACATAGCTGCAAAAACTCGAGCCATGCAGTTCACTTGTTCACATTTTTTGCGTAAGCTCGCGTCAGCTCGCGCGCGCTTATGGGCAAAAGCTTGCGTAGCCAGCGCGCGCGAGCTCATACTCTATGCAGCCACCTTAATAGTCGTAAACCTTGGAATGCCGCCCGTTGCGCCAGCCCCGGCAGCGTTATGCATGGGGATTAATGAGTGTGATAATAAGTAGTGCTCCTTTAATTTAGCTAATCTGGTTG